AGGAGAGGGGGGAGGGTCAGAGGGAGAAGCAGACTCCCTGCTGAGCAGGGAGCCCGATGCGGGACTCGATCCAGGGACTCCAGGATCATGACCCGAGCCGAAGGCAGTCGCTTAACCAACTGAGCCACCCAGTTTACCTATCTTTAAAATGGCGAACATTCGAATTCCACAGTTCCTCATTTGAGATTTCCAAATCCCAAAATCACTGTAAGATGGAAGGTTTTGTGTGAGTTTCATACCAAAACTTATTTGGTGGCAACCTGACTTGAGAGATATGAGGCTATTGACAGTCTTTATCTGTTTTGTTTAGTGTAAAGGGCCATGTTGCTAAATGAATGTGAGTGTGTTTGATTACGGTATGCTGCCCTGGATGCTGCTGGTTATGTTTTATCATGTATGGTATAGATGCCCTGTTAGACCTGCAGAAGTCTGAAAATGAATGAATTTCTAAGTGTACTTGTCCCTTAAGATGCTGCCCAAAGCTGGGTTAAGCCTCCGACTCTTGATTTTGGCTCAGGTCATGATCTCAGGGTCATGAGATTGAGCTCCACATCCAGCTCTATGCTGAGCATGGAGCCTACTTGAGATTCTCTCTCCCTCTCCCTCTGTCCTTCCCCCTCTGCTTGCACCATGCTCTCTCTCTCCCCCCCGCCAAAAAAAATTTTTTTTTAAAATATGCTGCCAAAAGCAATGTGGACATTTGCTTGCATGTCCTTCAAAGGATGGTTATGATGACCCAATGAGATAATGTGTGTGGTGCCTGGAAGATAGAAGAACTCAGTAAATAGTCATAATAATAATAATTATCACTATGAATGTGGTCCTATCATTATATATATTAGCATAGAGAGCAAGAGCATGGACTTTAGAATCAGATCACCTGGGTTAGAATGCCATTTCTGCAGAATAACCTTGGGCAAGTTACTTGACCTTTCTGTACCATGGTTTCCTTACCTGTAACATGGGGATAAATATGTAATTACTCCACAAGGTTATAGTGAGGATCCAATGAGGGAATACATGGACAGCCCCTGGAAGAGTCCCTGGCAGCTGATGATATCTACTACTGTTTCTCTTTCTCCCTTCCCTGTTTCTAATACAGTAGTTGTTCCATGGTGCCACACACTGGCCTTCTGATGAGGCCATGTGTGGGCAATTGACTAGATCTGTGCTTTGCAAAGTGGGTCACTGGGGGAACGCAACTTGCTTGGGGGTTATATGAAGCCACCTTGTGAATGAGGCAGATCTTTCTCAACAGTATGTCCGACATGGGCTTGGGCTGCATATAGATCTGATAGTAAATTCTGAACTGACCTTGAGCAGTCCAAATCTCAAGTTTCTCATCTTTAAAATGGGAGTATAGCTATCTAGAAGAAGCTGTTTTCTTGATTCTGCCTAGATTCCCCTAATTCTGAGCCCTGGATTCTTCCTCCAACTTTTTAGATACCAGGAATAGCTCTGATTGGAAGATGGTGCCTTCAAATACTAGTGGTTGAAACTGGACAGCACTGATTGTCTAAAAAATACTTACACAGAGGTTCCTGGCAGCTCACCTGTGGCAAGGCTTGGCGGTGGGGGGGTCCACTAGCTTTGATTATATACCCATGGCAGATGCAAATTCGTTTTGATTATATTTTAATTACATTTTGCAAATATTTTGATTTTGATTAGATTTTGCAAATTTGTAAAATCTCCAATTTCCCATGCATTTTCAAGATGAACACACCTGAGAGGATGGAAGTTGACTTAAAAATCTCTGTGAGGTAGCTGGTAGAATTTCCAATGACGTCCACCAGTAGGGCTGTGAAATCTGCAAGAAGGATTGACGAAATTGAAATTTCTGATCCAGAAACTTGAGGGAAAAATGTATCATGTATTTGGACTTTTCAGAGTAGATTTTACATGTTTAATTTTGTCCAGTGTTTCGAGGAATGTTAACGATCATACAGGGAACTATTACTAATTATAAAGATGTCTTATTTCCAGGCAGGGAGAAAACTTCTGGATCCACCATCATAGTCCCCTTCCTCCTCCCATTGCCCTCTCCCTCCAAATCCCTCTGTGCCAACTCCAAATGGCTGTGAAAAGCCACATTACTGAATAATGGTTTTTCTCATCTGTTGTCCCCTGTTATCTCCTCTAATTGCTTTAGAATACCAAGTCCATCTGACAGGAAGCAGCCTCACAGTTATGCAACCTGAATTTACATAGTTTTGGATTTTCAAAATGTGATGTCAGCGTTAGTGGTGGGTTATAAAGAGACTAGAACCCTACACAAAACAGAACCAGGAACCCCTGCTCTTGTCTCCCTTGTTAAGAAGGCTGATGGGAGGAGATTGGGAGAATTTCACATTTCAGGCTATCAAATCTTTGTGAACTCTCCCTCTGAGCAGAGTCTGAATAAGGGCCATTGCTTGACATGGTGGGCACCATCGACCAAGGAAAACTCCCAATGTACCTCCAGGCAAACAGCCGCTACCTCTTCTGCTGTTCATTCATGGTTTTCCAGGATCCAACAGGTTTTTGGCTTACAGAACAAGGATATGAATTCTAGGAGCCCCAAACAGTAAGAAGAAGCTTCTGGTGTCATCTGGAAAATCTCCTTTTGTGCTTTGTAAAAACACTTCTTTTACTCGATGGGATTGTGAGCTCGGGTGGGGGGCAAGCTGATTTGAAAATATAGAACACAGAGGACTGGAAATGCAGAGCCCAGAGAGGCAGGAAAATGTCATGGGACAACCAATGGAATGTTCAGCATGTGAGGTCAACAGGAGGTGGACACCACTCTACGTGAACCAGAGCCATGGTGCGATTTTATCATACTGCGCGGACACATGGTCAATCTCTGGGAGGAGAGGCGTGGTAGAACACCAGTGCAGATGTGGACACCTGGCCATGCAGAAGTGACGTCAGCTTGGGTGTCCTCCTTTCCATGTCTATTTAGACCAGTCTGTCCTTGGTCACACTGTGGAAACTGAGGAAGGGTATTATTTCATTATTTCTTCCATCTATTTTCTTCCTACTTCTCAAATGTCTTTTTTGTTCATTAATTCATTTATCTAATAAACATTCATTGAGTGTTTGCAGGGCACCAGACACCTGCTCGGTACTGAAGGATTGTGTGAGACACCATCTCTGCCCAGCAGAAGCTGAGATTAGTGGGAGAGAGACTCGTAAGCAGACCAGTAAACCGTAATCTGCTACTAACACCTCACAGAAGCCAACACCGTGGCTCTGGAGTCAGGACACCAAGATGGAGTCCAGGTTGTGCCCAAGTTTCTGAGAGATGATGGAACTTTCCCAAGGTCCCAGAGGATGTGGTGGAGCTTGAATTTGAACTGAGGTCTACAATGGGCGAAAGCTCCCACTCTTCCCAATGTTCCCACTGCTGCTCAAGCAACGTCTTACTCAACACACTGTGTGAACTCTCCCTTCAGAATGGCTTTTACAATCTCTCTATGAGGCTTGGAAGAGAACCAGCTATCATTACCTCAGAGACATTCTTTGTTTTGATGAAAATTTGAATCTAATTTACTAGCAATACCTATAGATGAGTGATTTCTGACTACTTTTATATATACATAGAAAATAGGGGGAAAAAGCCTTTTTGCCTATCCAACTGGTAATGATTTAAGAATGTGTCGTAGTATTTTGTGTTCGCAAGGGTGTGGAAAAACATGTGCTCTCAAACATTATCGGTAGAAGTGTAAACTTATGCAAGATGTCTTAGAGGAAATTTTAGCAATTTGAATCACCACAAAATTGTTTCCCTGTCAGACAATTCCATTTCAAGGACTGTATCCTACAGCGTAATTAGGCAAGTACTCCAAGTACTCTAAATACACAGGTATTCATCATAGCATTGTTTATAATTATAACAACACTGGGGATAAACTAAGGTTCCATCAAGAAGAGACAAATTAAATATATTATGGTACATTCTTTCAACGAATACTGTGAATTCATATGAAGGATGAGACATATTTATATTCACTGGGCTAGAATGGCTTTTACGATGTACTGATTAGTTTAAAGGTGGATTGTGAGGCTGTATGGAAAAGGTGGTAGATATGGCTGGCTGTCTCTCAATAACTCTTCTCCCACCTTCCTTTAATAAGAGAACAGGAAATTTCAGTTGGGCATATGGTGGTTTAACATAAAATTACATTTTTGAGCCTATTTGCAGTTGGGTGCAGCCATATGACTAAATTCTGGGTGATAAAGTGTGAGAAGAAGCCATGTGGAAGGTTTCCAGACTGTGTTTATATAGTGAATGGGAATATCATCAGTTCCTTTCTCCTCTTCCATGTGGCTGGAATGCAGATGAGGTGGCAAATCATCCTGGATTATGAGAACAAGGGCAATGCATTATGGGAGGCAGAACAACAGCCTAGAAGGAGCCTGGGCTCCCTAAACCGTCAACTAGAGCAGCCCTGGTATGTTTACCAAGATGGTCACATACGAAAACTATTACCTTCCACCCTCTGCCAGGCACCTTATTTTGGGGTCCTTTGTCATAATAGCCTGGTTTGTATTTTAAATAATATAGAGAATACAGACTGGGATGGGTAGATAGATGGGCAGATGGATGGGGTAGGTGGGATGGTAGACAGGTAGGTTAGATAACTAGTTGACAGATGGCTTAGGTGGGTAGATTAGAGAGGTGGCTTAGACTGCCTTGGGTGATGTGATTACCTATGGATGTTGGGATTTCAGGTATTTTTTATTAAACTGTCCCTGTTGTATGGCATTTTGACATTGTAATACGTTATTTTTTAGAATCAAGAAAAATTAAGCTATTTTCATTCAAAAAAAGAAAAAATATGCAAATACACCCTCACAAGGGGGGCTTTAAGTCAGAGTTGAGAATATTCAAGTGAAAATGATCCAGGTCTGAAGAGTACCCACAAAGACATCTTCCCCCAGGGACCGAGCAATGGCAAGATGCTAGCCTGCATTGAGCCTCTCATGGCAATGATCTGAGGGGAGTGGACACCAGCACATTGTGATGTGTCCATTGGAAACCTCGTAAAAAAATTCCTGTGGCTTACCGGAGGAGCAGCGTGCGATTTTATCAGTGGTGATGACCTATGGATCAACTCTTTTCAAATAATCGTTTCAAGTGTGCGGAAATATGCTTTGGCTCACCGAGGGGAATTAGAAACTCTTTCCCTGCAGATGTGACTCCACTTTTTACAATCAGGGCAGGGACACAGTGCCCACACTAAACTGGGCCCCCAGCAGGGGCTAATGAGAGGCTGAGGAAACTGTGGTAATGGACAACATTTGTCCTCCCACGGGTAATTTGTTGAGAAGATTTGAAGGGCCAGTTAAACAAGATAATGGCTGTGAGGTACTTGCTGCAGGGCCTGGCACACAGTACTCATTAAACATTACTAATTACTCTCTTTAAAATGTTCACAATATTTGTTCCAGAAATTCCACTTCAAGGAATCTATCCTTTGAGAGTAATCTGGAAAAGGGGAAAAAGTTTTATGCACCAAGATGTCCAATACAGGATTTTTTTATGTTAAGAAAAACCTAGAATCCACCCAAAAGTCAACAGTATATGGCTAAGAAAATGCTGACTTTTACAGGTTATGTAGTCACTACAAATGTTTGCAGTTTGCAGCCTGGAAAATATTTTTAAGGTTGGGTCAAATGAGAAAAAGACCAGGAGGCTTTTCCACTTTCAGGCCTTACTTCTCTTACAATCCATTTTTTTTTTTTTTAATGAAAAGCCAAAGAGATCCTCTTAAAATGTAAGTTAGATCATATCACTCCTCTGTGTGGCCAATCACCTTGGCTTCCTTCTTATTCAGTGTGAAAATCAAAATCCTTGCTGTGGACTATAAACTTCTACTTGGTCCTCAACACCCTCCCTGCTTTGCTCCCCCAGCTCTGAGCTCATTTCCCGTGACCATCTGCCCTGGCTCACCTGCTCTAGCCATGCTGGCCTCTCTCATCCTTACCCTGCTGCCTGGGCTTTTGTCTGGAACACTCTGTCCCTGGGTACCACAGGGCTGTCTCTCCACTTCCTGCCTCATTAGAGAAGACTTCCCTGACCCCCACTATATACAGCAGCTGTACCTGCCACCACTTCCCTCCTCACCCTTTCCCCTGCTTTATTGTTCTCACGGTCGTGTTAGTAGCCAACATACCGGGCATTTTTGACTCTCTGTCCCTTCCTATAGAATCTAGTCCAAGAGAGCAGAGTGTGTGTATCCACTTTGCCCAGTGTGGTACCCCCACACTTAGAAGAGAGTTTGGCTAATGGTATGTGCTCAATTAAGAACCACTGAATGGGAGGATTAGTGGTGAGATACTAACGTTCAGTTTTACTTTTCAGGATTCTCTAAATAGAAGGAACATCAAACAATTTTAATTTTTAACTATAAAAGTAATACAGGAGTATCCTAGCATTGACAATAAGATCCGGGGATACCCTCGTGTACTGCAAAGCACGCATCATGATCTTCTTTCAGAGGTAAACACCTACACGTGTCCAGAGATGTATCTCTTCACCAATGACAGTGTATTCTACACATTATTTTGTAACTCTGCTTTTCTAATTAATAATGGCATGGAAATGTTTCCAGACATGGGCCAAATCTGGCCACATCCATTCATTTATGCATGGCCTGTGGCTGCTTCCCAAAGTTTAGACTATTTAACCATTTTCCTAATGATGGGTATTTACCTTGTTCTCAGAGTTTTCTGTTAAAATAACGCTGCATGAACATTTTGTTCTTGCCCCTTTGTTCAGACATAACTATTTGTCTAAGATAAAAACCAAGAAAAGAACTTTCTGTGACAGTGAATGTGTACACAGCTAAGCATTATAGATACCACTGTCTTTTCTTATTTCACTCTAAGGAGAAAAAAAATCGAGTCAAACTTATCTGAAACGGGACAAGCAAAATCAGGAAGGCCGCAAGCCTGGCAGGTAGCTCCACCTACCTGACAAGTCATTGGTCCTGTTGTTCAGACAGTAGCAGTACCGAGTGGGGAATCTGGTGGTGTCCACAGTCTTCAGGTTGGAAACTGTGAAGAGACAACGATCCACAGGGCGGTCCTGACACCAAGCCTGGCCCTGCCGGCCTACCCATCATCATCAACACCACCAAGAAGAGCCCGGCAGCACTTACTGTTGTAAATGGCCACAGAAAACTTGTGGAAGGCAAAGGAGCTGTAGGAAGTGATGCTTAGCAAGGAGAAGAACTTGGTATCTGCCAAGGATATTAAAATAAAAGAAGCCATCAGACAAATGCCTCCTGACAATCATAATACCATCAATTAATAAACAGATAATAGAAATTAAAAATACAATGAACAAATAATAAAAGTAAATAACAGAAACAAATAATAAAATAGCACACATTGGAAATAATACATAAAATCACTTAAAAGCAAACGAAAAACTGCATACGTACATGTCACTTGACTATTTCCTGATCTGTCCCTAAGCCCTGACAATTCTCCCACAGTGTAGTTGTGATCAGAAATGCCTGCACATAGGTCATGTCTGGAATGCAGCTTGCTCTCCAGATGCTGGTGAGCCTCTGACTTCATTTGGATATTTTCAATCTCATCAGGTGTCAGGCAGGACACTGCATTCTCCATCTGAACACGGAGAAGCTGGGGCGCAGAGAAGTGCCCTGTCTTGCCCATGTTGCAGAAGTGAAGCAGGTACAAGGCAGAAGTGGGCCTGGATTGTGCTTTTTACAAACTGAGCGTTGCTGGAGGGGAGGTGGGCGGGGGGATGGAGTAACTGGGTGATGGGCATTAAGGAGGGCACGTGATATGATGAGCACTGGGTGTTATACGCAAACAATGAACCATGGAACACTACATCAAAAACTAATGATGTAATGTATGGTGATTAACATATAATAGAAAACAAAACAAAACAAAACAAAATAAATAAAAAACTGGGTTTTGAAAAAGTAAAAAAAAAAAAGAGAGAGAGAGAACTGCCTAAGGACAGACAGCATCGGTGAGTCAGGATTTCAACCCTGCTGTGTCTGGAAGAAAGACCACAGCGCATAGCCTCAGGGCTGTGCTGTCTGCTGAGGTCTTGTTAGCCAAACCCAAATGTGTTAGCTCTTATTTCTCCTATGCAATCATGTGAGGTCGTTCCCTGATTACAGCTGTCAAAATTGCATTCCCAGATCTGTTGGTGAATTGATTTTGAGCCTAAAGTTAAGACTTTGCATTTATACCCTCTATTTCTTAAGAAATTTAGGTGGTTCAGCAAACGTTTCCTGAATGCCTGCTATGTTCCCTGGAACAGGAGACTAAAGACTCAGGCCCTTGAGGAGAGCATGGCCCAGAGGGAGGAAGGTCAAGTTAATGGACAATAAGCAGTCTTATGATCTACCGACTCTGGTGAGCTTGGAAGAAGGGCCTCCAGCTGCAGGTACCGGAGGAAGTGATTTTAAAAACAAATGCAATAAAACTTTTTTGTTTGATTATATGCGTAGAAAATATGGAAAATTCATGACAGTGGAGTGAAGAAAAATAAAATCATATCTACTTCCCAGATGTAGTCAAGGTTAATATGTTGTGAACCTCTTTTCAGTCTTACTTCGTTTTACTTTCTATTTTCTGTGTATGTTTATTACACACATGTAAATACACATAGAAACAGAATTGGGATCATGTTTGACAATTTTTTCCTTGCTTTTTATAACTCAGGCTTTCCTGATAGTACATGATTACATATTAATGCACATATCATTTTTGTATGTAATTAACAAGAATGCTACATTACATTGCATATACTTCGTGTATATGTAATTAACGTAATAACATTAATACATAGTAATACACCAAAAAGGCAGTCTGGAGGAAACAGTATTGGCTCCCAGTGGTCACTTGTTTCATGGACAGTGAAAAAGGGAAAAGAAGAAATTGGAAATTTCTAGGGTGCCTGGGGGACTCAGTTAAGCATCTGCCTTCGGCTCAGGTCCTAATCCCAGGGTCCTGGGATGGAGCCCCGCGTCAGACTCCATACTCACTGGGGAGCCTGCTTCTCCCTTTGCCCTCCCCCTGCTCATGCTCTCTGTGTCTGTCTCTCTCTCTAAAAAGTAAATAAAATCTTTAAAAAATATATTAAGAAAAAGAAATTGGAAATTTCTAAATTGGGCACATAAAAGAGAACGGGTGTGGAAGATTCCTGCAAAGAGGGAGTTTTCATTCACTCATTCTTTCATTCATTCATTCAAGGTGGGAAGAAAAGGGTTGGAGTAAAGAAAAGGAAGAGAGAGTTCACTTTATGATTATTAATTATGATGCTAACTTAGGTTTTATTACTTTTCTGTGCATTATATTTCAAAAATTTAGAAAATGTTTTAAAGACAGACAGTGCTAAATTTAGTTTAGAAATGGGGGAGGTGGGAGCGAGCGTCCTCTCTTACCTGAGGTTGGGTGGCCCTGGGAGGAGCTGCTGTGTGTGGCCGCTATCCTAGCTGGAGGCCTGGACAGGCTTCTCGTGGCGGTGGCCTTTGAAGGAGATGATGGTGTGGAGGCCAGTGTTTCCCAGGGAGGTCCTGCAGGTGCCCAGGGCATGGGTAGTGTGGGAGTCCACGCCTGACTGCTGGTTGTCACCCATGGGGTCCTGGCTACCCTCCTGGTAGCTGCACATGGGACAGTAACAGGCCACTTATATTCTTGACCGTTTTGATTCTGATATAAAATTACCAAAACACTGAAAAGTTATCAGAGGGCAAATGCAATGTGCATGCATAAAACAGGTAACTCAGGGACCTAAGCTCTACCTTGAACTGGAATAAATGGACCAAAGTGAACTTTATTTTCCTAACTACTAATTTTAAGAAAGAAACCTCCAAATTCCTTGGACATCCAAATAGCGGGCTCTCTCAAAGTTCAGAGCACGTTTCTCATTGCATGACCCAGTGAAAAGGTTACAGGGTTTGAGGTGAGAAGACCGGGGCGGGTGGGCGGGGGGTGGTGGAAACTGCTCCCGCCTTGCCCCATGTTGTGACTTTAGGGGCAAGTGACTTCACTTTTTTTAGCTTTATCATTAAAATGGGGATGATCATAATGCTAACAACAATAATACAGTATCACAGCGTTGTGACAAAGACCAATCTTCCCTCACTGGTCTTTTAAACAATTCTATAGGTTCTCTCATTCATTTCCATGGTAGGCATGAAAATAATTTTTTCTCAAGTTTTTAAAACTAACCCCCTTGGAAAATTTTAAATCTATAAGTTAAGTTGGGAACGATTGCCATCTTTAAAATATTCAAATTTCTCATCCAGAATGTGGTATATCACTTTATTGATTTAAATATGCCTTTATTACCCTCACTAAAGTTTTATAGTTTTTCTTATATAAAACCCAGCACTTTTCCTTCTAGGCTTATAGCTAAGTATTCTATGATTTTTCTTGCTACTAGCAATCACATCTTTTTTTTTTTTCATATTATTCTGGTAAACTTTCTAATTATGTGGAAGTATCACGATACTGGCTAGTGTACTAACGACTTTCTGGTTAGTGATGTTGATTGCTTTTCCTCATTCTTGTTTTCCTGTCTGCCTGACTCCCATCAGTTCTCACCTCCTCCAGGAAGCCCCTTGCTGGGCTCTCCAGGACCATAGCTCTTTGTAGGCTAGACCGTAACTGTCAGTTGACTTGCCCGTGTCTCCCTCCCTGGTCTGCACACTCAGGAACGAAAGGGAACGTTGAGAGAGCTGTGCTTTAGCAGCTAGCCTGGAGTCTGGTATTAAATACATGTCTTGATGAGTGAATGAATAAATGAATGAATGAATGAATGAATGACTTCTATGACTCTCGTCCCTCGTCATAACTCATTGAGACAGTATTGGCTTTTAATGAAAGTGTTGTCTCCGTTGTATCTTATTTCCAAAGAGCATGACGAAGATGTGGGGAAGGAGGAACTCGCGGGCTGACCCACCACATGTGGCGGTTTTCCATGCTGGCATCAAGTCATTAACATACTCTTGGCATCATTATCCAGCCCACTACAAATTCACCTAACCCTGCCATAAAATATTGCCCTCATTCCGCCACATGGTGTTCATTTCAGGAGAGACATTGCTAAATGCTTGGCCGAAATAAAAATACATCTTGGTACATACAGTACACTTCACTTATGTAAGACATTCTTATTGGGGGTTGCTGGGCGAAGGGAATCAGGGAGCTCTCTGATGTCTTGTGAGCTCTCTGATGTCTTATGCCATGTCTTGTGAGTCCTAAACTATTTCAAAATAAAAAAGTCATACAAATAAATGTTGGCAGGGCCTTATGCCAATGATGCTCACTGCCTTTGTTTGTCTGTAATGAACTCACCCTGGCTCATGTCGATCTCTTATTTCAGGGATGCTGAAGAAGAAAGGGGTCAGTGGAGAAGGGATAAAGGAAGGATTTAACTTATTTATGTGAGCCTAGGGGGAACAGGAGGGAAGAACAGGACAGGAGGGGAAACTGCGAGAAAGTCTCTTACCCAAGGCTGGGAGGGTGTGGGGGGCGCTGCCCTGCGTGGCCATGGCCGTGGCCCTGGTGTGGAGCTCCGGAAGCCTGTCTGTGCTCACAGCCTGTTGTCCATCTGCAGGGGATGTTGTGTCTGTCCAGGGAGAGGTTCTAGGAGCAGGTGCCCTGGTGCTCTGAGCTCTGTGCAGGCGGCTTGTCCTCTGTAGTGTCTGCTGGCTCGTGGGTGTGAGCTTTGAAGTCACAGCCGTGCCCCTGGGAGCTGTACATTCAGGGAGACGGTCAACGGCAGCTTTTATATGCTTGACACTTTGAGCACAAAATTGTCAAGCCACTGAAAGATTGTTGGACAGCAAATGTACTGAACGCAGAGATTCAAATCTTACTTGGAACAATACCATATGTCACCAAAGAGGAGCGTTTCTTTTGGAATGGCAAAGGAAGCTCAAATATCAATTTCCAGAAACACTGTGCAGAGAAGCACTGTGAACAGAATGCAAAGCTGTCAGACCGCAAAGTATCAGACATTCGACATGTTTCCTGACAGAACCCGAATCCGTCCGAGTCCTTCGCCCACCTCACAGCCCTCAGCCCTTTGATGGCACTTTTTCCTAGAAGGGGGACAGGGTTGCTCCATGTGTCCTGTGCGTGCGACTAGAGATCAGAGGCGGAATTTGGGGGCATCAGAAGCTGCTGGGCAGAAACTGCTTGAAAGACAGGTCCTCACCGAGATAGCAGGAAGGTTCAATTTGGAGGGAGATCTCGCCGGTGCCCTTGGATGCTCCATGAAGACAGGGAGGAAGAAGCTCAAGTGTTCATGTGACTTTCTAACTCCCTTTGGGCAGCCTTTAGTGGTGGGGGCTGCATGTTAGGATGACAGGCTCCCAGGAGCCCATGGGTCCCTTCTTCTGGGTTAACTAAGGCCAGCCTGCAGACAGGTGGATTCCAGCCCCACTTGCCCCTTTGGCAGGTCACTGTGCAGGGCACATCCTGTGCAACAGTAAGTCATCGTCTTGCAGCCTCATCTCTTCTCTCCTGCTTCACTTCTGGGATAGTAATACCCACATCCACCACAGGCCTGGTGCTTGTTTCCAGATCAATTGGACATAGGGCTAAGTGCCTCCCAATCAAATCGTCACTCAGCCAGGTGACTGGCTATCAAACACATCAACCTTACAAATACGTGTCCACTTGTAAACATGTTCTTTCTTCCCAAGCATTCGTACTTCAAAGGAGCACAAATGGGAGCTACAATTGAGATTGGCCTGGGAAGGTCATGGGAGGACTCTCTAAAGAATTGAAATTGACTCAATCCTCGGATCTGTCCTTAGAATCAAGTAGGTGAAGGGAATCCACCAAATGCCCATTTCATCTCCTTATCAAGAAGCCTCACTCGATGCAAGTTGAGGTCCTTCCTCAGCGTAACTAAGATAAACAAACATAACTGCAATAAACGCAAATCAAGGCAGCCCACTGAAATGGAATTGGAGATTTATTGTAGATTTCATTTTACTCCAAGAAACACTGATGAAGAACCTACTATGCACATGGTACCATGCAGACACCAGGGGGAAGACGACTGTGGGGCTGAAAGAGTTTCGGTGTCTGCCTTCAAAGACCATTCAGTGAGGAGACACATGGCAAGTCACCTGTGTTCCAGCCTGGAGTAACACTGAGTCCAAATGACGGACGAGTGTCGTGTTATAGAATGGTAGACGACAGAAGACATATTTTGATCGGGGGATTTTTAGGAAAGAGGAGGCAGCCGCTGAGCTGGTGATTGACAGACAAACTGGGGCTCTGAAATATGGAAAAGTAGGGAAGGAGTTCCAGGTGAGCAAAGTGTCATGGGCATGCAGAGAGATGCCATCTGCAAGAAGAGGCAGGAACTTCAATGTCATTTGAGCAGAAGATTCAAGGAAAGAGAGTAGATGAGGTTTGGCATGCTGACAGAGCAATGTATACTCCAGGCTAAAGGCTTTGGACCCTCGGCTCCTGACCCTCTGCTCCTGCAGTGAGGAGACAAAACCCAATTGTATTTTAAGACTATCGCTCTTACAGCAATGGATTGATATTTTAAAGACATATGAAACTGGGTCAAGGAAGACTGGTTCAGAGGCTATCTCAGGTCAAAAATAGATGACAAGGACTGGAACTAAAGTTAATCACAGCAGCAGCAGATAATCTTGGGGGACCAGCCAGATTCTGGAAATTAATTCAGCTAAAACTGACAGTTAAGTGTAGGGGCAAAAGTGGGCTCAAAGGTGGTTCCAAAAATGCCACTCGTGCCAGGGAAAAGGCAAGCAGATGGGTAGGAGTGTGTGCAGAGGGGTAGAGGATGATTGGGTAGGGGCTGGGTATTATAGGGTGACAATGTCTACAACAGGGTCACTAATTCAATTACCTACAAAAGCCAAGTAGTTAATATGAGAAAAAAGTGCCAGGCGATAGGGAGCAGAGAGGTCTATGGAAAAGAGGAGGAATGTGTCTCTCCTAGTGGGAGGGATGGAGACAGTGCCTACTCAACTCCAGTTGAGTTACCAGATCTTCACTTGTAAGAGAATCCAGAGATTAATTTTCTCTAGTGGTGAAATCCTTTGATTTTAGCACAGTGTAGCTAAATAAAACACCTGAGGGCAGCATTCGGTCTTCAGTTTGCTAGCTGAGTTGGAGACTATAGTAGGAGTGTGGGGGGTTTACACTCACCCAGAACACCAGACATGCTGCTGGTGAATGTGTAGTTGATGACAGGAGATTTCTCCGCCATCTCCCAGAAGTCAGAAAGATTCCTTCCTGCAAAAACCACACAAACAGGATCGAATCTTGGGTTCACCTGCTAGAGGGTTCTGTTTAATTCTCAGCTCAGAGAGCTTGTCAAAGAATGGCTGATGATTCACCTGACTTTCCTGTCATCACACAGATGAAGATGCAGTCGGATTCGTTCGTTTGACTCACTGTAAGACAAACCAGTACACAAGACTTAGCAAGGCGTCTGAAGCTGTAGGTCTTTGGTTGAAATGAAAATCAAGCTAGAAATCCCTAGCTCAGGATGTTACAGGAAAATAAGGCTAATTCCTTCCTTTTAAGGCAGCCCTGATTTTCTGGGGGTTTTTTTGGGGGGGGGTGGCGGGGGATACAGTATAATGTAATGGCGAAGGGCACAGCCTCTGGGGTCAGCTGCCAGTATTACAACATCAGCTCTGCCATTTACTAGCTATGTGGCTTTGAGTGAACTGCTTGATGTCTCTAGGACTCAGTTTACCTATCTTTTTTTTTTTTTAAAGATTTTATTTATTTAT